CGAATTAAAACTGTACACAAATGGCCTATTGCGAGTACCTGAAGACGGATGGGATTGATACCATATTTGTAATTTGCTTCGTGGTAGTAAGGAGTCAGATGAATTAGAATAAATATGAAGCAAAATAAAAACTAGTAACCCTAATTCTGTTTACAGCAAAAGCTATAATCATTCTAGCTTGAAATCAGTCACTTTAACTGCAAGCAGGACAAGTCCTGAAAAAGGACTTTGAGGCTCAAAACTAGGATTCAGTGAGGTTAAACGCTGGAATGTTCTATATCTTTTTATGTTGCCTTAAATCTCTTCTGGAACACGAAGGGTTATAAATGGGTTATAACCATTTAATTTTTTTTTTTTTGGTCCAAACAAGGAAAATTTTTGAGGTTGAAAAGAGATGCTAAAATATGAATAAGTATAAAAATATTTATATTGGCTGACAAATTGGTTTCATTTTGTTCATGGACCTATAAAATAGTTCTTTCAAAAACTGTCTTCAAAAAATAAATGTGTTTAAAAACCAAAATCTATATGCATTAAAGGAAAAATCATTTTATATTGTTTGTATTGACTATCTGACACTAGGTACTAACATAAGAAGAATAATTATTCTTGGTGGTGGTTCACATATTTCTCTGTTTCTCGGCTATATATACTTCTAATATATGTCACTGATATTTTTCTGAAAAATGAAGCTTTTCAATATTGTGCTATGTTACTTTTCATAAAACTGCCTGCAATATTCTTCAAAGTGGCTTTTATGGCTAATGAATTTGAAGATGTGACACCTTCAATTGATTCTTTTCAGTCAGTCATAATATTTTAAATTATAAAAATACTTCTCTCTACAGATGCTGAGGTATCTGGTAAGTTCACAACAATTCTGATAAATGGAAGTTATTATCAATTTCATTATTTTTGTGTTAAAATGTGTAAATATTTCAGTCCAAATTTTTATAGATTCTGTCTTTTTGCTTCCATTCAGAATACCTTCTGTTGAAAAATATTCTTATGAACCAAAATTCGTGAAATAATTTTCTTTTATTTATGATTATTTCGAGTGTTTTGCTAATCAGGGATGCTGGGAAACTGTAGGTACTGGATATCAATTTATCAAATGACAAATAGGAGCTATATCAAAAGATTTTTCCCGCACATCTAGATATCATCAAACACAATTTTAGAAGTTTAAAATTAAATCGTGTACGTGGTTTGAGCTCACATCAATTAAGTTGTTTACTTCCAGGCTTGCTTTTGTGGGGACAAATTTCAATACCTTCCTGATTGCAGACTTTATTTCCAATAATTACATTTTGCAAAGCATTGAAGATCTTTTGGTACTCCATGATTACTTTAATTAAAAATTTCCAAGTGATTTGAAAAAAAATAATGCATCCAAAATTTGGAAGATTCATTTACCAAAAAAAAAAGTCACTATCATTGTAGGATACTTAATTTAAATAGCTTTCTATTTAAAAGCATTCCAAGGCTCAAACATTTCTAAAATGCACTGATGATGGGAAGCGAAGAGAAAAAGCGTTCATGTTTTAAAAATTTACCATCAACATCATTTAAATAATTTTGTAGTTTAGTCACTCTTTGTATAAATAAAATATTTATAGATTGTGGCAGGCACAGCTTCTGTTTCTATTGGTAGAACGTTGCTGCATATTTGGAAACGATTGTGTGTGCAGCACTAGTCCAAGTACACTTTTTGTTCCATAGATTTTATAATTTAGCGAGGAAGATGTTTTTACCTTGACATTGTGCTCCATGAAGATTTGTATTGTTTTATCACGGCCAAAAAATTATTTTATCTTCAATGTTGAATTTAACTGCGTTTTCAGTAGCATTCATGGTAGTGTTGGATGAATGTTCAAGGGTTTTACTTTGATGATATGAATTGGTCGAAAAAATTCAAACCGTAATTGGTATTATCTGATTTTCTATTCAAAACATCTCATGACCTGGATACAAACTGGCATCATTTAACTGTTTGTGAAATTCTTCTGCTAACGAAGTCAAGGCATAATAAAGCGAAGCTACTTGCTTCACTTTTTGTACATACGCAAGAAAACTTGGGAGTGAAAATGAGCAACATTAATCTAGAAGAACAGTCGTTGCATCTAAATGAAAAGTCATGTTTTGCAGAGCACTATGTCAATGTACCTTCCACAGCTACACATGTTAAATTGCCATCATTGGGCACAGTCTTCTTAAAATGACAATTAACTCTTGCGGTAGACACTGAAACTTCTTCTGCAGGTTTTTAGTACTCTGATTTTCATGTGAGGTGTGCTTTCGCCCCTGCCCCCAAGGTACGTCGCCAAGTATTTTGTGCAATTAGGTATTTGTCATCAACTTTCTTGAGAAATGGAAATTCAATACTTAATTTTTATTAAACAGGCACTTTACTTTTCTTTTTTAGTTTATTACTACCTTAAGGGTTTGCTGCAAAATAAAAAAGGCATTACCAAAAAATAAAATTCATAACTAGTTGTAGATTTGCTCCATGCAATAAGCATTTATATGGCTATAGTAGGAGAGTTCAGACTAGTCTAACAGGCTCTATATAGAACATTGCCCACATAAACTTCACATGCACCTATGTATATGTTCCTGTGTTTCCCACTGACCCGAACAGCTGGTGGTCTGGTGGGTACATGTCTCTTGCAGGGCAAAGCACAGGCCAGTAGCTGTCCCCCCAGGCACGGGCAGAGGCAGGAGGTTGCTCCACACCTCCACCCAGGACCGGATGGGGTGGCTGTGCCCAGCCTCTTTGTCCAAGTTCACGCCATTTTATCCGCCAGCTCAGTTTTACCAGTAAGTCCCCTACAGGCTCTCCTTGAAAGGGAAGGGTCAGTTCATGCTGGAAACGGTTGGGAAACAAGGGACAGATTATGGATTATTACCTCTCAGATTTAACCACATGTGAGAGTAAGACTTCCATTCCCTTCACATGTGTCTCATACATGACAAGACAAAGATGATGGCAGAAGCTTCCGGCACGCAATGTAGAGGTCCATCTGGCCGTATTCTATGTATAACATCGTGTGGTTACGAGTGAGAACTCTAAGACAAATGACCTGGGACAACAGGTGCAAATCGATACTGTCTCAGGCAGACCGAGGTTGGTCACTCTAAAGATGATACACAGATAGACAGATGGTAAGTAGATATCTGTAGACAGACAAATAGGTGAGTAGATAAATGACAGATTATAGGTAGATAGGTGGTAGATAAGTAGGTAGTAGGAAGACAGAACATACAATAACTTTGCTAATTGTCCACTTTAAAGCCATATGCTTAAGTGACCACTAACGTGGGAAATTTACTGTTTTGTGAAGTGTTATGCACAAGTTTGGTTTCACCATGGCCTGGGACGTCTTCTACTGCAGGAACTTATCATTAATCTCTGTGAGTCTCAGCTTCCTCATTTTTAAAATGAAGAGCAAAAGCACTTCCAGCTCTTAACACAAAGATATAATATCAAATAAGCTGATGTCTGTGAGCATGCTTTGAAAAATGTGAACTAAAAGCGCTCCCTTTTCATCAGAAAAGGATCTCCAGTGTAACATCTCAGCTCTTCCAAACGGCTTCTACATTTCTGCCAGTTCTGTCTGGGAAGAAAAATATATTATTTCTCATTCTGGAGAGATGAAAGACATGCAAGTAGACATGACATATAAGTATGTATATTCTTATACAGATTTTCTTTCCTTCCAACTAAAAGATTTTTAATTTAAAATTTTTTTATCAAAGTGTATGTACACACAAAAATCAAATGTTATCACAAGGTTTATCATGAAAATCACTCTTCCCTAACCGCGAGTCCTACTTCTCATGGATAACCACTTCTAATTTTTTATTGTGGAAAAATATACATATCATTTTTTTTTTTTTAACAATTTTAAGTGCACAGTTCAGTGGCATTAAGCACGGTCACTTTAGTGTGCAGCCATTGCCACCATCCACGTCCAGAAATCTTTCATCTTCCCAAACTGAAACTCCAGACCCATTAAACAACAACTTGCTACTCCGTCCCCAGCCCCCGCGGCAACCATCGTTCTACTTTCTGTGTCTGTGAGGCTGACTGCTCCAGGCCCCTCGTGTAAGTGGAATCATACAGTACTCGCCTTTTTACGTGTGGCCTATTTCACTGAGCATAACGTCCTCCAGGTTCGTCCACGTTTGAGCAGGTGTCAGTTTCCCTCTTCTTTAGGCTGAACGATCCCGTGTGGGATGGCTGGACCCCACTGTTACCCATTCATCAGTCGACGGACACTTGGGTCCCTTCCACCGTTGGCTCTTGTGAACAATGCTGTGTGCAAAGAGCTATTGGAGCCCCTCCTTCTCTTTTGTGTTATATACACAGAACCACTTTTAACTTTTGGCTGGTTTTTTTTTTTTTTTGACTTCCAAAACTCTAAAACATATGCTGATTCAGCTACGCTTTTATTTTTAAATTTCAGTCCTCCGTTAATGCTGTGCCCTGTCAGCTGCAGACTTTGCTCTCGTATCCACACCGCCACGCTTCCTCACAGCCTCCCGATGTTGGAGTTAAACCGGTAAGTGGGGTTTACATTTGCAGGTGTTCACTGCAGAGCTACGTAGCACGCCCCACCCACCTGATCTTTCCACGGCGAGGGTTCCTGCCTGGTGGCCCTTCACTCTCAACACCACTGTGCCCAGGGACACTGCTGCACCCAACTGTCCCTTCATCCCTCAGGGCGGAAACTGTGGCTAGTCTCTGGTGTCAGCTTCCTGTGTTGTCTCCACAACAAACAAAAAAACCTCTATATGTCCGTCCTCCACGAGCAGCTCTTTATTTGAGCTGTCTGCGGCCAGCCTGATAAACTATGTCTTCCCCTCTCCCAGCACGACCCCTTGTGCTGAGGGAGCACACCGTCACGGGCGTGCAAAGAAAGGCACGCGTGAGAATTACATCTTTTCTGAGTCCTTGTATGTCTGGTAACATCTTTTTTCTTTTTTTTTTTTTTTGCATTTTTATAAAACTTGATAAAAAATAGTATTTCAAACTGTACAGTCAGCAGAAGTACACAGTTATCAAAAACGCACACACTTCACTTGGCATCTCCAGCACCTTCAGCTTTCTGTGCCTGGTCTGTTTTGGCATCTCCGTTTTCTGCAGGGTTATTCTCCTCTTTGCCAGCATCAGCTTTTCCCTTTTTCCCTTTGGGTACCTTCTCTCCCTTCTTTGCAGGGGCCTTTTTAGGCTTGGGCTCTGGCTTTGGAGGAGCAGGTTTAGCAGACAACCTCACGGATCTTCTCTGTGGTTCGTCCTTTGCCTTGGCTTTATCCCCTTTAGCATTCCCTTCAGCCTTTCTCTTGGGCATGGTGGCAACGGTGGCGGGACGTAGGCGCTGGACGCAGGGATGCAGCGGCGCGTGGGCTTGGGTCGGTCCGGGGGTCGTTCTCGCCTCCTCTTCTTCCAACATCTTTTTTCTAAACTCCCACTAGATTGATAGTTTTCCGTGGTAAAGAATCCTGAACCGAAAATCATTTTAAACACTCCTCAATTACCCTCTAAGCTCTGGTATCGTTGGGAGGGAAGATGCCACCAAGATTCCCAGTTCTGTGTCAGTGACCTGGTTTGGTCTGTTTTGCTTTCCTTCTGGGAGCTTTTAGGGTCTGCTCTGGATGCGTAGGGGTCTGGCTGATACCCTAGGACAATGAGTGAGTTGTGGTCTTTCTCCATTGCTAGAAAGGCTCACGGATCGCTTCTTTAATCATATTTTCCTTTTCTTTTTCTCAGTTCTCTCTTTGGGAAATTCCTGTGAGCCAGATGTCGATCTCTTACGTGGATTCTCTGTTTCTTATCTCTTTTTAGGTCACGGTACCAGAAATGTCCAGCTTACACGGGTAAATCAGTGCATAAGAAAAGCTGTTTACTGGAGTATTACAAGAGAAACTGTATTCCATGGCAAAAACGGAGCAAAATAAGCTAAAAAGTGCAAAACAAAAATGAGCTAGCAAGAAATACTTCTAACAATGTTCATTTTATTTGTTTATTACCTCTCTCCACCATCCCACTAGCATGTGCTGGGGAGGAAGGGCTTGACTTTGTGCTCGGCTGTGTCCTCAGTGCCTGGAATACTGGCCGGCATGTAGTAGGTGTGCGATGCGTGTTTGTTGAGTGAATGAGGAAGTGGCTCCTGCCATTAGCATGCATGGGGACAGGACGCTGGTAGTTGGTTCTCTTCCCTGTGGGACCCCAAGAACTTGGTACTTGCCTGAAACATAACAGAGGCTCATTAAGCAAGTCTTGAACAAGTCAGGAAATTGGATGGGATGCCAGCCTTCCTGCTGAGAGATTCCGGTGTGTGGGACTGTGAGGACACTTCTCCCGGGGTCGTCACATTTCTCCAGAGAATAAAGTCCTGTCTGTCATCTGTCAGGGAGGGGTGGAGGAAGGGCAGATGGCCTGAGGTCCCATCAGCAGGTCCCTTAATATTCAGCTGAGGCCCCCGTTTCCAGCTCCCATCTCTCACCTGTGCTCTGTTGGGGGACCAACAGCCCCATTGCTCTCAGATTCTGTGGGGACAAACTGCCTCTGTCCCCTCCACTTCTTTCTCCCAAAGCCGTCCCAGGCCTGACCTGCTCTTGCACCCACAAGGCCGATCACCCCTCAAATCCTGGCCAAATCTGATGGTTGGAGCTCACAGCGTTGCTCCTTCGGTGGCCTCTGAAGGAACCATCTGTTATCGTGAACAGAGCCAGGTAGGGGTCAGTTAATCGTCGCTGAGGGACTGGCAGGCTCAGGATGCACGACTCTAAACGGAAACTTCTAAGTTGCTCCAGATGGGGAAAGGCGGCATATGGTCCCCGATTAGAACATCTCGAGGCTGTGACCGCTCTGCCTGGACCCTCTCCAGCCAGAGGACGAAGCGCACGTTCAGGAAGGATGAGTGACTTGGAGAAGTGATTCAGTGCCGCTGTCAGGAAAATCCAATGAGGACCCGCCTGGGGCCACCTCGTGCCCTCACGGCGCCCAGTAACCAGGCAGGGCAGTGCTGATGCCATGCTGGCATTTCCGAAAAGTAACCCCTTCTCGAGAGACAGGATGGTGTGGAGAAAACGGACTTGGGGAGGCCAGCGAAGCTCTGATGCTCCAAGGACAGAGGGTGTCTTGGCTGCATCATGGACATCTGAGAGGACAGAGACAAAGCCCTCCTGTGGACAGTAGAGAGGACAGAGCTGGGGCGGGAGGATAGAGGGGACCATGGCAAGGCTCCGGCACCTCACAGCAGAGAGGGGATCCTCATCTTCCCAGCAAAGCACGGCGTCTTCCGAAACCCCTGGGGAACATCAATTGCCAGCCCAACAGAGCAAGGGCAACTGTTGGTCGAGCAAGGAGGACATTCCCTGTGGGGATTTTTGGCAACCCTGAAGCTCTCTCGTCTATTGTCTTCTCAGCGTCGTCTTCCAGTGGGATATTCTGCTATTTCTGCATCTCTTTCTCTTCAACTCATCCCTGAGATGTGGTGTTCCCCAGGGTTTGGGGCTCGCATCTGTCTTCTGCCTGCTCCAGTTAAGTAGTTTCCTTACTGTTCTGAGGTCACTGGACACCCTACAAAAAAGAAAAAAGAAAAAAATCTGAGTTGAGATAAGCGTTGGTGAGAACAGGTTACGCAACGTGGAGCGAGTTTTCTTCCGGACATCTCATCTTGCACGACAAACCCCAAATCCCCCTGGAGGCAGTATCAAGGAGCAGTTCCCTAACAGATGCTTAGACAAACTGCCAATGTCCCGTCAGCCATTCTGATGGCACCAACTGTCCCTTCCTCCGGATGTCCCCAAAGAACGTACTCTCCCCTGGAGCCTCTGGAGGGAGCATGGTCCCACCAACAGTTTGATTTCGGACTTCTGGGCTCCAGCACTGTGAGAGATGAAATTTGTGTTCTTTTAAGCCACCCGGTTTGTGTTCATCCACTACAGCAGCCACAGGGGATGAATACAAGCCCAGACTTCAAAACTGCACATGACAACCCTTCACCCCTCTTCCAGACATGATGAAGACTACTCGGTTGAGGTGGGACCACCCCACCTGCAGTGGGTGAAAACTCAGCTCTGCTGGGTCAGCAGGTTGTTCCGGTGGTATCCTGGGAGTTGACAGACAGTAACATTCTTCACTCGTCTCAGACCCTTTCTGTTAACCACCACATTGTATGGCCGCCCCAGGCTCTAGAAAGAGGAAACCAGTTGTGGTATAAAGAAATACACCTATGCATATATACCTATATCTCATAGATGTGTGTGCATGTATATATATGTATGTATATATGTAATGTGTATGTGAGAGGAAGAGAGAGAGAGAGAGAACCTGTGTGTGTGTGTGTATGTATTGTATATATGAGAGGGAGACAGAGAACCTCTGGGTCACACTGAGATAATTCTCCTCCTCCTAAGGATTCTATTCTTGGAATACGTTGCATTTGTCCTGAGGCATCTTGGTCTAGAAACTTGATGGATTAATTTATTTGTCCATTCTTTACTCATTTACTGGTTTTTTTTTTTTGGTTTACATACTATTTTGCCAGGGCCCTTGGGAACTAGAGGTAGTATAGAAAAAAAATAATTGCTAGCTTGTAGAGCGGAGAATGCTTAAATGAAGTAGATTAAGCGGGAAGAACATACACGTCTAAAATATGCATTATGGATGCGTAATGGCCGGCTACTGTATTAGTATTGACGCGTTATTCATGATGGAGCCAGTTCCTGCTAACGGCAGTTATTCCAGACAATGGAAGCATCACGGCGTGTTTAAAAATACATAGAGAGAGAAGAAAACTCACACTTAATAACACTGAGCATGGGCGCGTAAAGACTTGCTATTGTGTTAGGATCGATAAAGTCAGCAGGGCATTTAAATGGCCCAGATGTTATGAAACAGTCCTGCTTTCTCTTATTCCGTTTTTCGGTCAGAGTCTGCATTGTAACTGGAGGATTGGGACGTGGGACGAGGCCTGGTTAACCGTGAAGACTATCCATCTCGCCAAGAGATACCCGCATGACACGAAGCGGAAAGTCAGACACTGCATTACCTGTGACCTTGGGCGAGTCACGTCGCCCCTCTCTGAATCCATTTCCTCACCTGTAAGGTAGGGAGGGTAATTATTTAGCAAGGAGCAAATGAGGTCACCCATGTTTTGGGGTGATATGGTGAAGAATTACCTGACACATTCCCTTTTCTTCCTCTGTTAGTTCCCGAATGTCATCCCTTTTAACATGAGGCCAACCCAGTCAAGCCCCCGTCCCCTCGACTGCTCCAGAGGTCACCTGCAGGTGGTTCTGAGCCACACTAGCCACTGCCTGTCTCTCTGCCTGAGCTCACTCCCGGTGAGCATCCTTGGCCCGAGCACACTGACCAGGCTGGAAGCACTGAGGAGTTCATGACCCCGGGGGACCCTCGCCCAACGCACAAAGGGGCCAATGGCTAAATGCCCCCGCTCCCCTGCTCCCTGTGGCGGGGGGTGTCTGGTGTGCCCTGCGCAGCCTCACGCAGAGTTTTCAGTGGGAGCGCAGCCGCCGCCCATAGCAAACCTTTATGTTAACACAAAGGACAACTGAAGACGGGGATAATAATAACTACCTTTCCGGGTGGTCGTCCACGTACCTTGAGGAGACTCGCAGTAAGGGCTTGCAGGCAAAAGTTCCGTGACTCCGAAAAGTCTCATTCAGGGGACTTTCATACAAAGCGGGGCTTAGTTATGGATTATTTAATTGTATGTGGTGTTTCTTTTCCTTTCCTTTTTCGGCTCAAACCACATTGTGTGCCTTACATTTCTTTTACTTGGAAAAAACACTACACACACATGGAATATCCTAATTTTAATGACAAGTCGATGCATAAACAGGAAGAGCTCAAGACACAATTTCCAAGATGTCCAAGTGAAACTCTTTCTTTCTTTCGTTGGTGGTTCGTCTTCTGAAGAAACAACCTGTACGTGAATGATTTTAGAGAAAGCTTTGCAAAACCCTTTAAAAAGTCATGAAAACATTTGGACGGCCAGGCTACCTAACGGTGAGGGGAATTATCTTGGGGAGGAAGGAAGCAACCCCCAAGCATCTGTTTGTACAGGAGTTTGGCCACTGCAGGATTTCTAAGGTCTATTTCAGCTCTAGAGTTCTCTAATGAAAGAATACAAATTCTCCTCCAGACACATACACACCAACAACAGCAAAACTCAAACACCCATGCACTTTGATATGCAAGTTTGAAGATGGTGGATGAAGTTGGCATTTCTCTACCTTCCTCTAAAAGCAGCAAGAAGTCCAGAAGCAGGCAGTTCCCGGTGTTGTGACAGCTATTCAACGAGGTCATGGCTGTGGGTTCTTATCTCTGCTGTTCTGTTGACTGTTCCAACAGGCTCACAAGTTGGTCACTATGGCTATAGATGTCAAATGTGTGTTTAAAGGAAGAA